TTGTGTAATGTAAAGGAAGGCAGGAGAAATGGTGGATCCTGGCATAGATTGATTTTAATATGGCTAGTGGATTCCACCTCGGAGATTCTACCTCGTAAGTGTCAAGCACCAAGCAATAAAGCAGAAAAAAGGCCATTTCCTCCCCCTCTTGTGGAATTGCACTAGGCCAGTGCAAGCATATATATGCTTGACATTCCACTTTAATTTGATGTTGAATGCATCAGAGCCGCTCCAAGGCAGCATTGAAGAGTCCTTGGTGGACAACTACATCACAATGGCCACCCTGGGGTTAGCTGGTTTACCACAGATCAGGGACAGATCCAATGATATTCTTAATGCTTTGAGCTCATGGTTCTTGGCTGACATTCCTGTTCTGTGTTGTGAGGTAGCACTGCAATGTTGGAGATGCTGTCCTTCAGATGAGATATAAAACCGAGATCCCATCTGTCTGTTCAGGTGTACGTTACAAGATCACAAAATTGGTTTGGATGAAGAAGGTCCATTTGTCTCATCCTTCCAGAACACCCACCCTACCATCTTCCCAACACAAAAAATACAGTACAAAATTACATTTGTATAGCGCCTTTCACATCAGGAGGATCACAATTAATTACCCTCTGCTAAGAAATACGTCCTGGTGTCTGTCTTGAAATTGCTCTTTTCAATTGAAAAAAATTGCACTATTTGAAAAAAGAAAGGAGTTTCTCCCAGTGTGCTGGCCAAAAATCCTCCAGATAAATTGGTTATTCCATTCCTGGCTGTTTGTGTGACATTGCCGTGCATGAATTGGCTGCCATGTTCACATACAATTACCAGAAATTATTGTGAAGAGCTTTGGAACATTTAGATATAAGCTGCTATAATAAATTAAATAATTATTATAATACTGATAATACAATATATTTTACATTTATATAGCGCCTTTCACATTGGGAGAACCTCTCAAAGCACTTGGGTTAACACACATATGACATGTGACAACAACAACAACTTGGATTTATATCGCGCTCTCAACGCCGGACGGCGTCTCACAGCGCTTCACAGTAACAGATCCCGGGGCCGAGCCAGGGGGAGGGGGAGGAAGGTGACCAAAGGCACGGTCGAAAAGGTCTTCAGCAGAGACCTGAAAATAGGAAGAGAGGGTTTGAGGCGAAGGGAGTCAGGAAGGGCGTTCCAGAGCCTCGGGGCATAGTAGCTGAAGGCCGAGGGTGGAGCGGAGGACTCGGGGGATGAGGAGGAGGCCAGACCCGGAGGAACGAAGGCAACGGGTACTCTTTTGAGGAGAGAGGAGGTCAGAGAGGTCGGGGGGTGCAGAGGAGTGGAGGGATTTGAATACAAGGGTGAGGATCTTGAAATTGATCCTCTCTGGGACAGGCAGCAGTGCAGTCTGGCCAGGACTGGGGTGATCGGGGAGCGAAATTTGGTGTAGGTGAGGATGTGGGCGGCTATCTGGATTTTATGGACACACATAACACACACATATGACACCCAATAAGGCAATGGTCTTCATACTAACATCATAATATATGTTGGGTCTCTGGCATGGCTTTTATGCTTTCTGAATGCTTTTTATGCTTTGTTTGCAGAGCACTGATGGTTTTTTGAGGTCTATAAGAGATCTGAATGCTGAAGCTGACAGACTCGATTTGATAATTCTAACAGACTTTAAATGAATAATAAAATAGATTTTTACGAAAAGAAAACTTTAAGACAATTCTCTGATCTACGCTTTCAAGCAAAAGCAATACCCATATTGATAAGATCCCTTCACCATGTTAGTCACCAGTTTGCAGGCAGTTAGTTCAGTCTGTCCCGGCAACAGTAATGGAGAGAGGATGACTACAGCTCGAAGGCCATCTACTGTTTTTGGATGGTCCAGAACTGAGAAAGTAGATAGGAGGGTGGAGAGGAGAAACAAGATATCCCCTGGAGACCTCAGGCGAGAAGAGATTGCGGATAAGCTGAAGTGTCCACTGGTCTTCCTGGCGCCTGTGATTCTGATACTCGCGTTACTTCTGGTGTTGTTTGCTGTTTATTCAGTGAAACCGTTTCACAAAGGTAAACACATAGTTTTGTTTAACAAAGAGAATAAAACCTGATATAATATGCTGAAACGCTGAATTAAACTCCTTATTCCTTTAGACTGTCTTGACTTTAAGGAAGTACAAAAACATGGAATGAAAAGGCCATTAAGCCCACTTCTTCCAAAACCGACACTATTGTGGGCTGCTACAATGCTGCTCACAAAACACCTTGCAGTATGAAAATCCATAATTTCAGTTCTTGCTCCACCATTGTGTTTTTTATATTTAAACAGCTTTAAATTTCATCAGTGGAAACTGCAAAGTTACTGGAAGCCGACTGGAACCTCAGGGAAGCTGCAACTCTGGGGGAAATATCTTTAGTCCATGTGTTCAGATCAAGGTAATAATGAAAAGTTCAGAATTAAAGCCACTTCAAATTTACATCCTCATTATTTTATATCAGAAGTGAAAATTTGTACATTTTTTAAAAAATGTAACATTTTAAAAATAACATCTGATAATATACTTAAATAATGCTTGTATTTGATAAAGCGTTTTTCACAGTCAGATGAGTCTCAAAGTGCCTCACAAGATTTATTGTAAATTGTGGTGACTGTAACGCGGAGTCCTATAACTCGGTGGTCAGAGCACTTGCCTCACAAGTGAGAGGACCTGGGTACAATTCCCGGGCAGGGCGAAACGTTGGGTAAGTTTCCATTCATGCTTGTTTACCTAGCAGTAAGTAGGAACCTGGTTGTTAGTCGATTAGGAGATCGCTTTTCCTCGGTTAATAATCTCTTCAAAAAATAAATAATAATAATTTGGTCACTCAATCCACAGCTGTTTGTGGGACATTGCTGTGCACAATTGGCTGCTGTGTTTCGTCCACAAAAATATACATTCAATTCATTTATAGAATATTCTATGAAACACTTTGAGACACCTCGAAGATTTGATCACATGCAAAGATTATTGTTATTTTGTAGATGGATGCCTGCATAATTCAATTTTCTTCCTCTTTTCAATCAGCACCAGACTAAACATGTAACAATGATTCCAAAATACTGAGCAATGTTGCTCTACCGAATTATCCCCAGTGCTGGGCCCAGCTCACTTCAATGTCTAATGTTATCTTCTGCCATTTACCATCTGTAGGTGGAAATACAAAATTACACATAAGCAGACATATGATCCGATTTTATTTTCTACCTTTGTTATAAAAAAAATTGGTTGTGAATTAGAATGGTAGTCTTTGCATCATTTAGAATTATAGAATGGTTTAAGGAGCGTTAGCTAAGAAATTAACTCAACAAATTTCAATACTATAACTCCTTAAATAATCACTAGCAGAACTTAAGTTTGACTTCATTGGTCTAAAAGGCTATTCGTGTCTGCATTTTTGTCACTTACATGGAGCCATCCACAATCTGTTTTAGGAATGGGGGTTAATTATTTACTTGAAGCTTTTCTTCCAAATTATCTCTATAGCTACACAGCCCCATTGAAAAAAATTAACATTCCTTTAGCTCTTAGAAGTAATAACCTTGAAGGGCAGCTAACGTTTTTGTTGTTTCAGTGAAAGTTCATTTCTGTCCCAGATTGCGTTGAGGCTATCTGATAGTTCGAGGCAGCTTACCCTGCTAATGGAGAATGAACAAGCTTTGTCAAACTGCCAGCAGGTGAGAGAAATGATCAATGTTTTGTTACTGGCTCAGCTAATGGAGAAATGAATAAAAAGGAGTAAAATATAGATTTTAAATATCTTAAGTTCTTTGTCTACATGTGCATGTAAAGTTGTTACAGACCAACCTGTGGAAATCTCTCCCAACAGGAAGAAGAATCCATTGAGATATTCAAGTTAGAAGTTAACATTACAGTTAGGACATTTGCAATTAAAATTGGATTAGATAGTTCAATTGCCGTGTATACTTTTTGTGTCATACGTTAATTTTCAGTGGATATATTGAATTGAACCAAACGAGTAGATTACAAAATGTTTTTCCCTAACACGTTGAACATTTGCTGCATCTGCTTTGACTGATTTTTTTTGCTTGGGTCATACCTGTTCTTCAGCCTGCTCATAGAAGCAAAATGACTTTGCTTTACATGACTTATCATAGCCCTTCTCATAACCTCCACTAAATTACATGCTATTTATTCTTTTAAGTGTGAGAAGTGGGAGGAAATTATTTGAAAATTTACACTGTGATTCTCTTAAGTCTTGTAGCATGAATATTTTTTGCAAAGGATTTCTGAAAACAAAGCTAAAAGGGTTCAGAAATGGTACAGTGCTACAAGATGTTAAAAAAATGTTAAAAAAGTTAAACTAACCCTAAAACACTACTGAATGTTGATAATAAGGCATCTGGAGAGTAATTGGTGACATGGATATGATATGTACGCCTTCAGTAAACAACAAAAAGTTTCTTATTTCTTTAGTGCTCCTTCACTTTTGGTCATCACGGGGTTTTCGCTGATCGCCTGGTGGACTGTCAGGGTTGGCAGAAGAACTATAACAAATCTGCATGTGCTACAAAGTATCTTCTGCAATTTGGTCAGGTAAAAATACTGGTAGATTCTGTTTGGCTAATCAAAGGGTGCTGTTATTTGCGTTATCCAAATTGTTACTTCCATTGCAACCGGACTCTCCTCAGACTTTGTAGGAAGATTCATTTTTATTTAATATTTTGTTTAAAAAAGTGTATTAACTATTGGAAATATAGTCAAAATGCCTTGATATCTATTTCTAATGTAGCATCTTTATAAGGTGGTCTCCGAGACGGTGACCAGAGTGAAGGGCGCTATATAAATGCAAGTTGTTGTTGTGCACTGTGGATTACAGAATTAGATAATGAATTTCAATGCACTCGGATAGTGGGGTGATAATTAAAGCCTGCCTTACACTTGTTGAATAGGTTTTCCTAGTTCTTCCCAAGTTTGCTGAATAACATGTCGCACGATAGCAAAACACTCCGCACCAACAAACCATTTCATGTTAGAAGAGAAGATGAATCTCAGGCTCTTCCTTATGCCAGTTTATCACAGAATGGATATCGATGGAAGCTACTAGGCCAAAGCAGAAACTACGGTGCTCGGGATTTTGGAGCAGTTAAAATGAAGATGATTTTGTTAAAAATGTAGTTTTGACTTCCAGAGACTCGGCTATTTTTGTCCTTTTTTTTCTTTGTTAAGTTGATCCTTTTCTTCCTCCCTTCCCAAGCGTAATGTTATTGGATAGAACGAATGCTGTATGTGTAGACAACATGCAGGAGAGCTTTTCCCCCCACCCCACCTCAAGCTTCTCACCTCACACACATGTGCACAATTCACAAACCTTTTTTGACTGGGTCTTTTGACATGAGCTATTTTTTTCATTTAAAAATTCTAATATCTTAATAATATTATAATAATTATCCTTGCATTTGATATTTCACAACTTCCAGACGTCTCAAAGCGCCTCACAGAATATACTGTAAAGTGAATTGACTGCATATTTGTGGGCGAAACGCGGCAGCCAATTGCGCACAGCAGTGTCCCATCAACAGTCGTGGATTGAAAATGACCAATTTATTATTGTTTTGGAGGGATTATTATTAGGCGTGTGGAGTAAGGAAACTTGCCCAAGGTTTTGCCCTGCTTGGAATAGAATCCAGGTGTCTCACTTGCAAGGCGAGCGCTCTAACCACTGAGCTACAGGACTCCTATTGCTTTTTTCATGTACTTTAGCAATATCCTCATTTTAACTGCTTCAAGTCCCCAAGTACCATATTTTCTGTGATATCTGGTAAATTAAAGCACAGAGGAAGCAGTTATTCATTTTGATAATGAATTTCAACAGAGTCGGTCAATATAGTTGGAATATACTTCTGTTTGTCACAAGGTTTTTGCTGATCGTTTGGTGGATTGTCATGGCTGGTTGAAGAACTACAACAAATCTGACATTTTTGACTGAATTATCAACCCATAAGCTAGGAATGCTTAAAAAAGCGAATATCCTTGAATGGTACCTTTCTGATGAGAGCAGGAAAACGGAAAGGGAAACAGCAGGTCAGCCCTGACTGTGCCTGTATGCTAAGAACCATTCAATAATATGGACTTGATGAAAGTTAAAGATTTTTGAAAATACTTCAAGATGAAGTATGCAATCTCAAATGGTCATAACTGACATTCCCTGCAAAAATTGAATAACCAAACTATTGAAAAGTCTTTAAAACAGTGTCCTTACCTTTGTTCCATTAGCAATTTAAAATTCATTTCAATTGGAATATAGATAAGCAACTAGCAATCTAAAGAATGGCAATAATTCATGGCCAAGGTCAAGTTGCTGCACAGATCTAACCAAATTAATGGTATGGTACTTTATTTGATCATCTGCTAAGAGTGTTACACAAACTTAATTTAACTGAAGTCCCTGCTGAATGTTAGATTATTTTTTGTCTGGTGCCCTGTAATAATGTTTTTAATAAATGTTTTTACGTATGTTGGTTGTCTCATTCCATTTTAGATTAATACCACCTTCCCATGTTTCTACAATCCCACAGTACCTCAGGAAGTAATTAGGAGAAAGGAGGTAGGCTTGACAATAAGTCCCAGCATATCAACATTAAGTTGTATTGATTAGACATTGCACCAATTAATGTTCTTCCTAAAAACTAAGTATAGAATATTTCCCAAGCAAGTTTTACTCGTTTTACACCAACGTTGCATTGTTTCCAAAGATCTAAATATTTGCAGTTCAAAGCCATCATAAGATCTATGATTCAGGAAACAGTAAAACAATGGAGGGAAACCAACAGGAAATGATGTAAGAATGAAAGGAAATTGCTGTTGGCAAGTCGCTCAACAAAGTAATTTGCAAGGTTTCAAAATTAACTCCACTGACAAAGGCATTGTAAAGCATTTGTCATTCTGCATTTGAATTGCAGTTAAAGAAATGGGATTGGACTGGGAAAGCTATAAGAATGTATATCAAACAATTACCTAATAGTATGTGGAACGTTTTTGCTGCTGCGTTGTTATAAATTTGTATCACCTTTCAATGAGCAAATTGTGACAGTATGAGAGACAAGTCAGTGCGAACGTAGGATCTAGTCACTGCCTCATATGTGAAATATTCTTGCCTCTTTGCAAACATAAATGTCTAATTAAAAAAAGTGCTAGAATATTAAATCATGTCATGCAGCTGTTACCAAAACAAATCCTCATCTTGTCTTTTTGGTCTTTATTACCATTGTTGACCTGAATTTTACAGCTGACACTGGGAGTAGCAGTGAATTCACTGCTGTGGCCTTTTCTGATTCTTTTGGGATATGGATCTGCAGGTGGATTTGTTCTTTTCGACTACAGTAAAAGAAGGTAAAATAAATCAATAATAATTTTCTCGCTTTGTTCGCTTTGCAAACTTAACAAAATCCGGAAAGAGGTGGACATTAATTTCTAAGCAGTTATTGGGAAATATCTATAATTACTCCCAAAGTCAATCTTGTTTCCCATCAACTGAGCCTAAATTAAATTGAAGAAAACGGTGAGACAAACTAAGAGGGTTAGTTGTTTTACATGCATTGTGTTAATTAAGACACAGAAGGTTGTTGCTGTAATTTTATTTGTGGAGGTTGCTGTATTTGCTTGGATTGACCATTTGAAGAGTTCTGAGCTGTGTCAAATATCAATAACTGACACACAAGTTGCAGTGAAAGTGTGAAATGAGAACATAGTTTAAATATTAATTGCATTACTGTGTACTGACTGAATGTGACATTGTATCTCACTTATGGTGAGATGTATCTCACTTATGGTGAACTCAGGTTTATCAGAATTATGCAATTTTGTTCAGTTAATTTTGACATTACTTTTTCAATATTGTGTGTGCGTATATATATATGTATATCACCATAGAATCATAGAATCGAACAGCACATTCGGCCCATTGAGTTTGTCCCGGCTCTTTGAATAGAGCAATTAATGTCAATCCCACTCCCCAGTCCTTTCCCCATAACCCTGCAAATCCGTCCTCGTCAAATACCGCGTTTTTAAAAGTAGTTATCGAATCGGCCTCGACCACCCTTTCAGGCAATGCGTTCCAGATTCGAACAACTCGCTGCGTGAAAAAATGTCTTCTCACCTCCCCTCTGCTTCTTTTAGAGACTATTTTAAATCTGTGACCTCGAGTCACTGACTCACTGACCAGTGGAAACAATTTTTGCCTTTCTAACCTATCAAATGATTTTGAAGACCTCTATTAGGTCTCTTCGTAACCTTCTCTGCTCCAATGTGAATAATCCTCGCCTCTCTAGCCTTTCCTCATAATCAAGGTCCCTCATTCCTGGTACCATCCTCGTAAATCTCCTCTGCACCCTTTCCAATGCCTTAACATCCTTCCTATAGTGTGGTGCCCAGAACTGGGCGCAGTATTCTAACTGAGGCCTAACCAGTGTTTGATATAGGTTAATCATAACCTCCTGACTCTTGTACTCTATGCCTCTATTTATAAAGCCTAATATCCCATATGCTCTTTTTACAGCTTAATCTACCTGTCCTGCCACCTTCAAGGATTCATTTACCTGAACCCCCAGGTCTCTCTATTCCTTCATCCCCCTTAAGATTGTATTACCAGCCTGTATTGCCTCTCCTCATTCTTTCTTCCAAAATGCATTACTCGCATTTCTCCACATTGAAACTCATCTGCCATGTGTCTGCCCATTTTACCAGAATTCTGTCTATGTCTTCCTGCAGTTGGCTCCTATCCTTCTCACTATTTACTTCCCTACCTAACTTTGTGTCATCCGCAAACTTGGAAATGGTACTTGCTATACCCAAGTCCAGATCACTTATGTATATTAAGAAGAGCAGTGGTCCTAATACCGATCCCTGGGGGACGCCACTGTACACTTCCCTCCAGTCAGAAAAGCAGCCGTTCACCACAACTTTCTGTCTCCCAGCCAGTTCTGGATCCATGCTGCCTCTGTCCCTTTTATACAATGGGCTTCCATCTTTCTTACAAGTCTTTCATGTGGCACTTAGTCAAATGCCTTTTGAAAGTCCATATAAACCACATCAACTGTACCACCTTTATCCTCTCCGTTACCTCATCGAAAAATTCTATTAGATTTGTTACACAAGATTTGCCTTTAACAAATATGTGCTAAGTGAAGATTTATTCTGTCCCGGATTATAGTCTCCAGGAGTTTCCCCGTCTACTGATGTTAGGTTGACTGGCCTGTAATTCCCAGGTTTGTCCTTCTGTCCCTTTTTGTACAGGGGAGTCACATTGGTCACTCTCCAGTCCTCTGGCACCACTCCTGTGTCCAACGAAGATTGAAAAATTGTAGCCAAAGCCTCCGCTATTTGTACCCGTGCCTCCCATAGTACCTTTGGTTGCATCCCGTCCGGACCGGGCAACTTATCTACCTTCAGCGCAGTCAACCTTTTCAGTACTTCCTTTCTGTTTGTACTTATCCTATCCATTTCTTCTACCCTCTCTTCCGATACTGCGGCATTTGGTGCATCCACTTCTTTGGTGAAGACAGATGCAAAGTACTCATTCAGCACATAGGCCATGCCCTCTGCCTCCACAATAAAATTTCCCCTTTGATCCTTAATTGGCCCCACCCTACCTTTGACTAACCTTTTTCTCTTGATAGGTTTGTAAAATATTTTAGGATTCCCTTTAACGTTTATTCGTATAATCTGTTTGCCCCTCTTATTTCCTTTTTCAAACCTCTTCTGCATTTCCTATATTCTATTTGGTTGTCTTCTGTATCTTGGGTTTGACATTTGTCATACGCATATATATACACACACACACAATGAAAAAGTAACGCCACAATTAACTGAACAAAATTCCATTGAAATTACCACTCACTAAGTCAAAACCTTTAATGAAATGGCTAGTAAAGCTGGATGGGAATTTGGCCTTTGCAATTAGAGTGATATGTGTGTTTGTGTGTGGGGGTGGGGGGGAACGACCCGGTGGGAGGAAAGAGGAAGAATAATTTTAACCTATAATACTGGTCCTCCTCTCGGACACCATTTAAAAAAAGAATGTTCCAAGTTTCCATAAGGTTCCATAGGTTCTATGCTTTGAGCGCATCAACAGATGCCTCTGATGACCCACTTTTCTATTTGTTTAATATATCAATTCGGGATTATTCAACAATGGAAGCTGCGATATTATGACCCGCTTGCTGATGGGCATCCCTGAAGCAGGACAATGGATGAATAACATTTTATATTCAAAACACTTTACTATAAATTTGTAGAATAAGTGGATTAAATTGTTGCTCAATAATAGGTATAAAGGCTTTACTAAGCCATATAAACCAACGCTTGTTGGTTTGATTCCTGTTACTGTTGAGCTGGCTCAGTTGGTAGTATTTGGTGAACTACAATTGGCCTCAGCACCCTGCACTCAGATGAGAATGGACTATTCAGGGAGGCGATGAAGGCAGATTGCCTCAGCATGAAGGAATTTTATAGCTATTTGGAAGAATTTAATTCTTGGGTGTGAGAGATTTAGTGCAGGATATTTTTAAACATTGGAACTGACCAGATATGTTCCTTTCTGGTTCTGTACATTTCATGTACTTTTCAATAAAACCATCATGAACAATTTATTGATGAAGTAAATAAGATGAAGTAAGTAAAATGGATGGAGACGTGAACTTTATCTCCCATTATCATGCAATGGATTTTTTNCACAAGCGTCATTGGAAGCACATTAAAAGTCACCAAAATGTGCAACTCGTCTAATTCCTGACGAGCCTTTTTTAAAAAAAAAGTTTATCAAAGGGTATGGCACAATTTTTTTTACACACAAATAGGAAGCTGCCGTATTACCTGTGAATAGTGACAGGGCATTCTCCATTCAGAGATCTGGCCTAGGAGCAGCACTTAGAGATACGAACAGTTGTGCTTCTTGACCCCCTCAGTTCTAGCTTATAGATGACACATGGTGAGTGCCATTTATATGAAACGTGACATCATTTATATGAAAAGCAAGTCGGAGAGTTTCCAGTTTTTAAGGATGAAAATGTGGGCAGTATGATTGTCAAATCTAACCAGAAACAGATGGAAATACTTATGACAGCAGAGATAATGCTTGGAATTGAGTTGTATTTATTCAAATATCGTTTAGCGAAGCAGCACCTTAGCATTTTTTAAAAAACTAATGCAGTTTCTCATATTTCCCAGGGTATTAAAACTGCATAGAGTATGCAAGATTATTATCCGTGTATGGTTAGAATTAGTACTTCTCTAATGTTTCAAAACTCATGAATAATGGTTTTGTGATTGGTTTCCCAGGAAGCTGAACAATCTTTTGGAGAGTCAACAGACAAAGGAAACTCAAAAGGAAAAGAACTCAATAAAGAGACATAAGAGAAACAAACCAGCTTGCCGTCATGGCAACCATTTTACCAGCTACCTTTACATGTCTAATGGGTCGCTAAGGTGAGCCAAGTAATTTAAAGGTTGAAATCTCTATTTTAACTCAAGCCAACAAAATGGGGGTGTCACCATGGGGGTGTATTGTTAGAAACACACTGCATTTGGTAAGTAAACCCCCACAGAATCAATCTGTCCAATCACCCTGGACATGGCTTCTTCCATTTATCTCCATCTATCACTCTATTTTCAAACAGTGTTCAAATAATCTAATTCATTAACTTTTGAAACTACTTGCCTTGGAGGGGGTGCAGCGTAGATTTACTAGGTTAGTACCAGGGACGAAGGGGATGAGTTATGTGGATAGGCTGACCAATTTGGGCCTATATTCTCTAGAATATAGAAGAATTTGTGGAGTCCTGTAGCTCAGTGGTTAGAGCACTCGCTTTGCAAGCGAGAGACCCGAGTTCAATTCCAGGCAGGGCGAAACCTTGGGCAAATTTCCTTACTCCACACGCTTAATAATAATCCCTCCAAAACCCAAAACAATAATAAATTGGTCATTTTCAATCTACGACTGTTTGTGGGACATTGCTGTGTGCAATTAGCTGCCGCGTTCGCCCACAAATATACAGTGAATTCACTTTACAGTGTGTTCTGTGAAGCGTTTTGGGACGTCCTCCCGACGTGAAAAGCGCTAAATCAAAAGCAAAAGCAAGGATTAATTAGAGGGGATCTTATAGAAACCTATATCATCATCAAAGGGCATGATAGAGTAGATAGTGGGAGATTGTTTCCCCTGGTTGGAGAAACTAAAACCAGGAGTCACAACCTTAAAATCAGAGCCCAGCCCTTTCGCACTGAGTCGAGGAAGAACTTCTTCACTCAAAGGGTGGTGAATGTATGGAACTCACTACCCCAAAGGGCTGTTGACGCTCAGTCCTTGAACATATTCAAGACTGAGATAGATATATTTCTTATTGCAAAAGGGATTAAGGGATATGGGGATAAGGCAGGGTTAGGTTATTAGCTGGAGTTAGATTAGAAGATCAGCCATGATTGAATGGCGGGGCAGGCTCGAAGGGCCGAATGGCCTACTCTTGCTCCTACGTTATGTTATTTAGCAAGAGTCTTAACCTTTGAATCCTTGTGCACAGAATTTTAACACCAGATAACTCATTAATTAATTTAGCCACCCCCACAAAGGACTCCAGCACACTCCAGCCTGATCCATTTATTTTTAAACAAAACATGCCACTTACCCTTTTGGGACTTTGTCACAAAAAGTACTTAAGCATTTTCCCTCAATGAAATCTTATCTGCTACAGCATTACCAAATCTATGCTGATTTATTTTTCTATATTTAGATGACATGGGCTGTCATGGACTTTACTAAGCTAGTAGTTAATGGAGCTGCTAAAACTATTAACCAGAGATTTGTTTAAGTGCTCCGAGACGCCATCCGGCGTGAACGGAGCTATATAAATGCAAGTTTTTGTTTATTTCCTTCTCAATTCCACTTATTCCAATTTCATGAATTGGGAAAAATAAAACAATGCTAACTCAATGAAATTTCTCCCTGCTGTCCAAAACATCAGATACCTTTCAAGCACCGAATCTGAGTCCTACCACCCTCCCCCAAATACCTTGAACTTACTTTAAAGAAATGTAAAGCAGTTGCCATTTATTATTAGATAACCCTAGGATGAATCAAGCAAGCACAAAGCAGTTAAAGAGATTTTAACTATCTGTCAAAATAAAAATAATGGGCAGAGATTGCACAACATGCTTGTTCAGTGATCTGTGTATGGGACAAGTCTACCCTGGGGAAATTCATTGCGCAAGAAAATGAAAGTTGGATTTCATTGTAAGGCTTTCAAATTCCTAAATTGTTTACAGCCTTTTATGGAATTGTCCACTTGGAGAACTTAGCTGATATCCCTCACTTCCAATACTTAAGTAATTTTAGTAAAAACAATCGAGGTCATGAGCTTAATATATATAATTCAACAATGAAGTAATACATGCTTAAAATAACATATCACTGTGTTGTGCTTTTGTAAAACCAGGCCAAGATTTTTCAATGGCTTAAAATAGTTAAGTCAATGCATTATATTTCATCCAGATTTTTGTTGGTCGGTTGGATATCTGTCACAAGTGGAAATCCATCACCATGTTTAAGAGCATCACCATGCTCCTAATTCCTGAGTTTAGCATAGGTTTGCAAGAGCCAAGGCTTGGGGACCCCAGGATCCATTGGGCTACGGTTGGATGGTTTCACAAGTTTAAACCACACAGTTTACTCTTGCAAATACTGGGAAGCTTACCACTGCTTGTTCAGTTTCGAACACTCTTTAACTTTTAGAGCTTTGGCTCATCATCATAAGTGCCTAGGAGTACTGTGAACCTGCCTGGCTGCTTGCGCATCAAACTACCGAGGATACCACAGAGGGTCAACATGATTCCGATCGTACATTGACAGGCATGTCTTCTTGGAGCCAATTTAAACTCAAAGTGACTCCCTCTCCCAAGAATATAATGTGAGAACTTCTGCAATAAAGATTATTGTAAAGATTTAATATAAGACAAAGTGAGTTATCTGTATAATGTGGCAAATTATTTAAGTCAAACCAAATAAAACTGTTTGTATTCTTTCCAAAAGCTGTACCTGTTTGGACCACGTTTGTGAAGAGCCTCAGACTACCTTAACACCAAGTGCTGAGGCAGCACCAAGCCGTCCATCAATTGTTCGTTGGACAGAACAGGATCTCTTGGACCTTGAACACCTGGATTTGGCTATCACAGACTATAACCAGAGTCGGCCATCCTCAGTCTACTCCAATGTTTTCACCCTACAGGATGGCGAGGTGATTGTAGATAATGAAACAGAATGGTATGGACTTCATGGAGATATTATCTTTGGAATATCTGAACAAGATATTGACAACTATTTTGCCAGTATTTCTAGAAGGCATAATTTCCGTCAGAGCATTCTCCCATTTCATCCATTCGGGGGTATGGATGAGACTAGGGTGTAAATTGTTGTGGGATGGTTGAATTTAGAGCCTAAATAATACTTTTGATTGTACTTTCAGCTTCCACATGCAAATATAACCTTACACTTTCTGCTAAAATTCCTATCCCAGCAAATATTCATGAAATCAGTAGATATTTGTTATAATCTGAAATTCTTCAGCAATTCTAGTAACAATACTTAAAAAAAATTAATTTGAAGAAACTTTAGATCAAAAATATGAAGGATTTTTGGATTATTGCTCCAAATCTACTCTTTCTCCCCCACCAAACCAATGTTCTTGACAGAATAAAGTTGAACAAATCACAACAGCCACTTTCACTTTAACATTAGCAGACCGATTATGAGCATATAACAGTCAAATCCAATCCTGCCCTCATTTAATGTCCGCAATAAGGACCCCATTTGGTAGAGCAATAGACAATAGCCTTCAGGAACCCGGGCTGATTTGTTTCCCCCAACTATTGTCCAGGGACATTGACACTGAAACCAACTGAGAACCTACCGTGTTGGTACGTGGGAGCAGTGAACCAGCATTTATTTTTAAAGTCCAAAGTAGGCCATTTTTAAAAAATAATGTGGACATTACCCTTAATTCGAAAACTTGAACCTAAAACTTTAATTGGACCCAACTAATTTCTGGCATATCATGCCTCCAAACTAAAGCTAACATGCTAACAACATCCTAGCAACGTTACTCCAATTTTCTTCAAAGTCACAGACTGTACAATTTCGCTTGGCAATAAATTCCAACGCATGAAAGGAGAGCAACATTTTGTTTTATTAAATCATGCACATCACATGTTAGTGCAAATATTTTGAATTTGTACTCCAGAAATTCTACTGTACTTTCCAACCTTTTTTACAAAATAGATTTAAAACAATTATTTTACTTAAAAAAATGTATTTCTGCAATTCAGCATTTCAGAACAATATTTGCAAACAATTTTATGTACAGGAGGTACCAAGGAGCACTGGCATTTGTGTACAGTTGGGATGATAATATTTATGATAAGTGAGTTGATCTAAACAGTTGCGCAGATTAGACTTTAGAACAGACTTTTGTTTTCACATATAAACAAGTGTTTTTTCCACTAACTGTGGCGTGTCCAAACAAAAAAGTCCCCAAATGAAAGGGAGTTCTATTCCACTAAAATATACGCTGACCATTACTTATTTTAACCGTAATTTACCAACAAATTGTTGCATGAATTTAATTAAATTCTTGAAGATCTATTTCTAGTGTCAACAAGAATTTGTTAACCAAGCTGCAATTCTAACAGTTTTTAATTTTATCGCTTGAATTTGTGTTTATATTTTATACTATAATCTACAATTGTTTCAACATGTGATTGGGCATCTGAAAAACTATATAATCTGAATTAAATTTCAAACAAGGCAATATCCAACTCATTAGGCTAAACAATTGGTGAAAAGTGAAGGTGGCTACCCATCTTCTCTTGTAGGACACACTTAATTTCAAAAACACGATGAACGGTGTGACAACCAGCAACGATTATGATTGCTGTTTTAAAGACAGATAAAAGAGTATCCTGGGAATGTAGTGATTAAGGCATTACCTTTACACTGCTCCATGGCTGCAGGTTTGAGTCCCAGTCACTTGTATATAAATATCCCAATCAATATGGAAAATAGGCGTTTAGTCCATCCAAACCACAGTTGCTTGCGCACCTTCCACCAACTGATGCACAGAGGTATGTATATGTACAAGATACTACAGAGGTGACTATGGGAAGAGGAAGATTAAATGAAGTGTTGTTGTTGTTGTGTGACATGGGTTTACCACTCATCAGATATTGCCATCTAAAGACCCATCAGCTCTATTGTGACATAAAATGTATCTTATAATTTGACAGCAACGTTATGGTTTAAATGGCACAACACCTCCTGCTGCAGTGAGCCACGTTAAAGCGACAGGCAATTAATTTTTTACACCCCTATTAAGATCAGTCTTTTGGCTCACGTGCACCACTCAGGGATGGCATCACTGTTGTCAAAGGAGACAGCAAAAAAACGTAGAAATAAAACTAAATAAGATTTAATATTTCTAAGCATTTTGGTACCAAGAAGCCTAGTTTAGGCCACCACATATGTGTATATATATATATAATCCCAATGTACTGATTTAAAAACAAAGATGAAAAACCGCAAACAAAACATTACCTAGAAGTAGAATCCATTCAGAAATTTTATTCCCTCTATGTACAATTACATTTTATACAGTTCAAGCAAAGACCCTACTGTCATACTCTGGAACAGCTGTGTTTTTGTTAGAGGTAAAAAGGAAGGAAACCAGTCTGCTTTTCCCAGTGGTAAAAGAAAGCCAGTGTCAATAGGGAGGACATTCTGTGGTTATGAGACACTGAGCATATTCAGGGCGAGGCCCTATTTAGCCCTGGGTACAACACTACCACTGTCACAGCAACCAGCACGGCCATTACTGGCATCCACTTCAGCATTCGTCTCTGAAAAGGAAAGTACAGTTAAAGAGAAAGTTACTTCACGATTGATTATATACGATTGTTTTCTGAATACACAGGAGGCCAGCAGTTTAGCAGTTTGGGGTAAAATAAAGTTTAAGGACAGAATTTTCACTGAACAGTTCAATAAACTAAAATCAGATTTCAACAGAAAATATGGAATTACACAGGAGTCAATATTTCAAGAACTATTAATGCAAGATCTGTCAGAATTATTCAGAAGCTATAGAGACACTTAAACCAGCTTTATAATTCTTATCTGCAAAGTTGAAAAAGTAAAAATTATATATTTAATAAAAAAGGTCTGGCTTCATGGTTTAGTTACAGCAACCATTTCTTAACATTTCCCTGAATAGATGTATATAAGTAGAACAAAATGGATACCACAGAAACAGTACCATTTTTTGAATGTTAGAAACATTACATTATAATATACAAAAGGATATTTTTGCTCACTCTAATTAAGGGGGGGGGGGTGAAGTCTATTAAAATGTATTGATATAAAAAAATAAATCTAACCTTACTTAAACACAATTTTACCCCATTCAGCTATTAACTTTGTAATATTCCAGCACACAAAGATATTTAGCAGTTTAAACTAGATAGTGGGCATGCTGGACTAGTTAATAGAGTGATGTTAGAGCAATACAGTACAAGTAACCATAAGTTTATTTTAAAATACACTTTTTTAATTAAAAAACTGAAGAAAATAAAAGCTACAAAATAGGATTAATATCAGTGTTAGAAGAGCCTGCAACATACAGATTAGCGGATTAAAACTGCATGCATGTTCTCAAAAAAGGCATACAGTGACAGTGAAAAACACAGACATATACTGCAGCTGTGTACCTTCATCTACCATAGGTGACCGGACCACCAGTACAGGAAAGCCAGGATTAGGGCGACGCCTAGAGCAGGGATAGGTTGCAATATGGTGGGAGGCTGAGGGAGGGAAGGGATATTAACAATCACTGTGTGCAAAGCACTAGAATGCACAGTGGAGATTCTCGGGGAATGTCGAGTTGGAATAAAATCTAACTAAGCATACCAAATGCTGTGAAAGAACGGAATGGTGCTCTCAAAAGTTTTTGGTGAATATGTTGCTAAATTAATCCGCAAAACGTTATCACTTTTACAAATTTAACCGTAGCTGGCCATCTATTTATCAGCAAAAACAATTCTGTAAATTTCTGGAAACACACATACCCTTACTGTGCTGAACAAACATTGTTGGAGCATAATTAAACTACTAATTCTCTAGTACAACCTTTCCAATTTAAATCTCTAGTTTTCTTTGGACAATACATTTTATTATTCAGATGTTTGGAGCCAATATCCTTGAATATTTTTCTCTGCTTTTTCTGAGGGTGGAGAATACAAAAAATGAGAACTGGCTACAGTTTGGATTGCTGAGTCCAATTTAAATATTTATATTTTTCTTTTCTGTCATTCATATTTAATCTTCTACCATGTGTTTTGCAAAACTAGCAACTACTCAAAAAGTGCATCCTTTGTCACAGTAAAGTGATCATTCAGAAACAGAGCCTATTGATGAGGTATTTCTGCATCTTATTCTCTTGATAGCACAGTCCTGTTTTTTCTGCTGCTTTTTTAGCGAGTAGATTTTCATTTTCTCCATTTAATCCCTTCACATTAGATATTAAAAAGACTTGAAATAGTTAGAGGAAAAAAAAGTTATATAATTTTAAAAAGGAAGCAAACAAAAATATAAACCGCTCACCATGGAAAGCAGAAGCAACCATCACCTCAGCTTCATCTAAAGCCAAATCCCCCAGGCTCAGTACCAATGGCCAGTTTCAAATTTCAGGCTATGAGCCATAAAATAACCCATCAACACAATAATTTGATTAATAACCTTTTGTGGTGTGAGAAGGCATGGAATTTGATCTAAATAGCAAGCATAAACTTAACTAGAATATTAACACTGGAGTGTAACTAAATGACAATGCAGATCGAAAAGGATTTTGTATTAATAAGGCTTGCACTTGTGCCTCATCACATCGTCAAGACATTAGATTTGAAGGCTGAAATTTCTGTTGCCATTAAGTGCAGAGACTTAAATGATGCGAGAATATAGTAAGAAATATCTTTGGGAGTAGCCACTATTAATGTCACTACTCAACCATCTTACTGTGAACATATTTTACATTAGATGGGAAACTATAACAGATAAATGAAAACCGATACAAAGAGTGCAGACAAGAAATTAATTAGTAAGACTCACGTTGTTTCCCTTCTCCTGTAGCATCTTCAGATTTTCTTTACACTCTTTGAGTTCTTCCATCATAGCCTGTTTCTCATGTTCAGTTCTATTGAGCTTCTCCTTCACCTCCACAAATATTGTCCGATTTGCTTCGTACTGGAAAATACGTGAATTGCCCGAAATTTTGAAAGTAATATTACACTTAAAAGTAGCAATGAATTTGAACAAGAATACATCTTGTTCAGTACTTTCTTTTAAAAAAAGTTTTGTTATATAGAGATGGAATACATAGAGCTGGTTATACATCATCAATGTCAAACCATAGGGGAGGAAAGAAAGACATTTCCCTCAATTTCTATAACTTTACTCTGAAAAACGCAGCACAATTCATTGTGTTTGCTCGCGTTTCCCAATCCTTAATTTGTTTTCCTTTCTATCAGATGTATAATCAAAATGCGTAATAGTAGAACATTTTCCAATTATTCTATCGTTTCAGGTTTTATTAAAAAACATATTGGAAAAAAATGCTTGATGTGTCTGGGTGTGAACATATTTCCCACTACCATCAGTTTAATTTTCCATTAAGCACATTGTCCACCCTAATGTCCTGTTTGAGACAAACTCATGCCAAGTGTGAACCCATGTTCACTGGAATTCGGCTGTGTTTGCTTTATTTTATTTAGGATCTTGAACAGCTGTGTAAAAGGAAAGAAACATGCATCCTCTATCTCAGCTGTGAACTCATATCCCTAGAGGTGAAAGGAAAATGATCTACCACCCAGTCTCAAGACAGCTTAGTTTCATTCTTCCAATACTGCCAGAATAATCTGATCCACTTAATATACTAAGACCCAAATGCTAAGGATATATTCGGTGCTTCTCTTCGATTCAGAATAGATTTTCATCGCAAACTATTCCTAATCAGAAAGTTGAGATTTACTCACAGATCACTGCTAAAGTCATTCCGTGTAGCAATAACATTTTCAGGACGGGAAGGGGTCATTCGGCTCATTAGCTCCCTACAGGTGCTAGTTCCTCTAACTTTAAAGCAATATGGTCAAATTGCTTAAGGCATCCTGGCCAGTAGGAGTTTTTTTTTAAATTAAAAACTTTCCCAATTATCCCTCACAGTTTTTGCGTTGTTACAAAAGGACATCTGCAGGCGAAGTAAGCAACCTTCCCAACCTCTTAGTCAGAATTCAGAACATGGCACCTTAAAGAAGGTGGGAGGGGAGAAACATTTTCAAAACAGAATTAAACAACAACAACTTGCATTTATATAGTGTCCTTCACATGGATTAGTGTCCCGGAGCACTTTACAGTGACGGAATCTGACAACGAGCCAGGGGGAGGGAGGTGGAAAAAAGCGGTTCTAATCAAGGAACAGATGTGTGGTAGAAAGGAAAGCTGGGGATTGAACCTGATGACAAAGTTGCACACGGGTTTGGAGATTCTGAGGGAAAGCCTGGGGAGGTTGAGGAGTTCAGAAGGAGAGAAGACGTTGATAGGAGTCAAAGAGTATGGCTTTCGTCTTGCCAACATTCAGCTGAGGACATTTGCGTTCATCCAGGCCTTGATGTTGGTCAAACAAGCTGACAGGACATCAGTGGACTGGGAATCGCAGCTGGAGAAGAAGTAGGTTTGGGTGTCACCTGCATACATGTGGAAGTTGACCTAATTTCTGCGGATGACATTGCCAAGAGAGACCATGTAGATGAGGAAAAGAATGGAGCCAAGGATGGAGTGAGACGAGAAGGACGGGAAGGCAGGGGGAGTCCTGGTCACAGAGAGAGAGAGAGGGCATCATTTGTTACTTTGATGAGCGCTGTCTCTGTTCTGTGGACTGGGCAGAAACTGTACTGGAAGGGTGCGAGTAGGGAGTGGAGGGCAAGGTGTGAGCGAAGTTGGTTTGCAACAAGGAGTTCCAGAGCTAACCAAACTAACCAAATATGATTAGGTTGTAAACTCTGAGTAAAGTCACAATCCTGACAATTTACTTCAAGCAACGTAATCCACTTCAAATTAACTTGCATAGGTATAAGGTGGTGCATATGTAAAATTACCTGTTTCTCCAAATTTCGAGTCTCATTCTCAGTCTCTGCAAGTTGGATTCTGAACTCCTGCTTCTCCCGCACTTGCTGCTCCTTCAGTGTTCCTACCTGAACCTCCAGTTCCTTACGGCAAGTCTCAAGTCCATTGACATTTTTGATCAGCACCGCATTCTGTTGCTGAGCACTGCAACAAAATCATTCCAAGATAAATTTTCAGAAGGGTTTTCAAGTAAACTTTATATATTAAAGTACAATTGAGTTGTTAGACTGCCTGAGGTTGCTCAAAATGGAAGGGAGCTTGGAGACAGTAGCTTCAGAAGACAAAAGTCTCACCCATAAGAAGACAAACACTATTTTGGCTTGATTTTTCAAAGAATTAGATTTAGGACCCCATAAGAGGTTTTACAATCGAGACGAGTCTGCTTCGATGACAGCAAAGATGACATCGCCGAGCAAGCAACTGGCTCTCACTCATCCTAATTGGTAATAATCACTGCCAGAGAAGTAGTGATTACCAGGAATTATACTATGCTTCAGGATTCTTTGATAATGAAGTCAGAATTCTGCACTGCTAAAAGGAAATGATTAACGATAAGATCACTCAATATAATGTATTGTAACACAAGTAGTTCCGACATCTGGACACAACAACAAATTACGTTTGTATAGTGCCTTTCATGTCAGGAGGATGTCCCAAGACACTGGACAGTCAGGGATCCGCATCCAAGCTGGTGGTTGGGATCAGGAGGGGTGGAGGGTGGTGAGAGTAGGGATAGGAGGTGACCAAAGGCAAAGGTCGAAGAAGAGAGTCTTGAGACGAGTCTTGAAGGAGACAACAGAGGGGGCAAAGCGGAGGGACTGTGGGATGGCGTTCCAGAGGATGGGGCAGAGAGGCTGAAGGTCCACCCGACAATGGTGGGGCGGGCCAAGGCGGTGAAGCAGGCCGGAGCTCGCTAAGCGGAGAGAGTGGACAGGTTGGTAAGGGGAAAGGAGGTCACATAGATAGGGAGGAGCAAGCCGTGGAGGACTTTGAAGGTGAGCTGTGGGACCGGATGTGGGGAAGGAAAGACAACTGTGGATCAAACCCACCGCCTAGGTTGCACACTGATTCGGTGAGTGAGGGATAGGCCGTGGAGGTTGAGGAGGTCAGAACCACAATAGAAGACATTGACAGAAGCCAATGAGTATGGCTTCTGTCTTGTCAACATTTAGTTGTAATAAGTTTTTGCTCATCCAGGCCCTGATGTCTGCCAGACAAGCCTACAGGACATCAGCCAGACCTGAAGTAGCAGCTGAAGCAGGAGAAGTAGATTTGCGTGTCATCCGCATTCTTGTGGAAGTTTACTCCGTATCTACAAGAGGGAGTATATAGATGAAGAAGAAGAGGGGACAAAGGATTACACTACAGGTGACTGGGCAGGAGGAGAAACCACCAAGTAAAAAAATACAAAACCATATTTGAAAAGCAGAAAGCCAAGACAGATGAATGTTAATCACCACTGAAGTGAAAGAACACTCATGCTACATTAAACTACAGGTTCATGTGATGTAATGTAATAGTACAAAGGGTTGAGCCCCATTCCTGGCAGCTTTCAAAAGGCCAGAAGCAGTTTGAGCTTCAAGGAGTTTGAACATTTATATGGTAGTACTTACTACCATTTACAGTAAGAACTACCATATAATGGAAAGAAAAAGCGGACGACCTCTGTCTTTCCTCACATTTCTTTTGAGGGTCTTAGCAAGGTGGTGGAAGGCTTTGAAGGTGAGGAACAAGATCTTGAACTGTATCCTCTGAGTGATGGGGAGCTAGTGGAGTCAGGCGAGGATGGGGGTGATAGGGCCACAGAGCCTGGTGTGGGAGAAAACATGGGCTGCAGAGTTTTGGATGATCTGCAGCCTGTGGAGGGAGGAATTGGGGAGGCCGACAAGCAGGGAGTTTGGTTGTCGAGCCTAGATGTGATGAATGTGTGGTTGAGGTCTCGGCAGCCTGTCCCCACGCCTTCACTTTCCCCCATATCTAGACCTCCTCTGTGGCTCAAGTTTGAAGCAGAATAACACATTTAATACTCAGTATGCGAACAACAACAACAACAAGATTCCATTTATAAAGCGCCTTTCACGTCAGCAGGACGTCCCAAGGCGCTGCACAGTTGGGTCATGACCCGAGCAGGGGGGAAATGGTCAGGGTGAGGGGAGGGAAGGGAGGGAGCGAGGAGGGGGGAAATGGTCAGGGTGAGGGGAGGGAAGGGAGGGAGCGAGGAGGGGGAAGAGAGTCGAGAGGGGAGCTGAAGGCTCGGTCAAAGAGGAAGGTTTTGAGACCGGCCTTGAAGGAGGAGAGGGAGGAAACAAGGCGAAGGCACTGGGGGATAGAGTTCCAGAGCCTAGGGGCTGAGAGGCTGAAGGCCCGACCACCGATGGTAGGGCGATTGGGGCGGGGGACGTGGAGCAGACCGGAGCCGGAGGAACGGAGGGTACGGGCAGGTAGGTAGGGGGATAGTAGGTCGGAGAGGTAGGAGGGAGCAAGGCCGTGAATGGCCTTGTAGGTGAGGATGAGGATTTGAAATCAATCCTCTGGGGGATGGGGAGCCAGTGGAGGCGAGCGAGGGAGGGAGTGATGTGGTCGCGAAGCCTGGTGCGGGACAGTACACGAGCTGCAGAGTTCTGAATGACCTGCAGCTTGTGGAGGGAGGTGGCGGGAAGGCCGGCAAGGAGAGAGTTCCCATAGTCCAGCTTTGAGGTGACAAAGGCGTGGACCAGGGTTTCAGCAGCGTGAGGGGTGAGGTAATGCCGTAGTCTGGCGATGTTCTGGAGGTGATGGAAGGCGGTGCCAGTTGTGGTGCGGATGTGAGGGAGAATGGACAGGGAATATAAGAATACAGAATGTGGAGCGAACCTTCGTGGTTATTTTAAGATTTGTGTACAAGGCTGACTGATACTCTGGACTACTTACCTGTTGTGCAATTTAATCTCACTTACAATTTGAAATATTAGTGAAATGATTATTGTGTAAAACTTAACACACCACTTGAACTCAGCAGTAAATTTGAATGCGTTTTAGATGTTTCCATTGTCAAAGAATCACTGCAGAGTCATGATGAACCAACCAGAAAAGTGTTGAAACTTGCCTTTGAAGGTCTTGTTCAAACTGCTGAACCTTCCCTGTCAAAGTGGTGTTCTCTCGTTTCAGGGCACCGTATTCATTTTGCAAATCATTGTACTGATTTTGCAGCTCTTCCAATTTACCTGTCAGTAATGATAGGAAAAATAAATCAGATTATGACTGTAACACCAGAGAAACTAAATTACAATAACAAAAGTTACAAAACATTCCATATTTTAGAACATGCAGAGAACTAAAATGCCTGTTTCATCTTTCTTTGAAAGAACATTGTATGGTTGAAGTCCATGAGCAGGCGTGCAGTGTGAATAACGATATAGAGATGCAACGATGGTATTGAGAGGATGAATACAGGGCTGGACACAGTACCAGCTGGAGGCAGGTTGAGAAATTCTACTCTGATGATATTTGGACATTTGATTTTTTTTCTCCAGTTACTGAATAAACTGTAACCTGATGGAACACTTTGTTCAGGAAGAAAGAAATTGATCAATCTTATTCAAAATGACAGCTTCCATTATTAAATAGAGCTAATACAGCGATGCTCTCTTTTGTATTCCTTTGTAAAAAAAATCCTGAAATGCTTAATTGTTCGATCCTGCAAACTAAAAGTAACTACTTCATCATTCTAGCAATAAAAGTGACAGCACGTTCCAGGTGTTGTTTTATGCCTGCCAAACATCATCCTGACTGACTCACTCTTCCCCCAGGAGCTTGTGAGTTAAGAGTTTTCACACTGTGTAGAATGCTGCTGTTTCTGTAGATCAGGGCGGTCCAACCTTTTGCTCCACTCTCCTGCCGCTGCCATGGAATGACATTCGCCAGGAAGGGAGAGAGCGGAAGTTGGAATGTTGGAAAAGTCTTGTGCCGGATAAAATCACCCACCGGCCAGATTCCGCCTGTTTTTCTTTAAAATTTAAGTAAGCTGTGTATTAAGTTAAAAACCATTTTCTTATTAAATATATTTTAAGAGATTGTGAAGGCTCATGTTTCAGCACAGCACGCTTAGTTATGTTGGCTGCAGCAATCAGAATGCCAGTACAAAGTCTGTGGAATCATTAACACAATACAACTGAATTTATTCCATGAGAAACTCACTGTGCCCTGACATTGCTGGGTTGTTACCAGAACTAACAGTAAACTAGCAATTTAAAAAGATTCAGTAACAGAGATGGTTTTGGCTCAGACATCTGATGATTACATAAATCAAAGTGGCTTAAAATTGAAGATTGGAGGAATCATGTCTTTTTTGGCCACTGACAGGTTGAATGGGTGGAGTACAACATCCCAGAACAACAACATGCTCTTGTATTTATTCTGCAAAATATTTGCTATCACTGGGCTGTACAGACCTTATTAATCTGTATAGGGAAAATAGCAACCTCTGGTGCAGCAACTGTCAGCAATTAAATCAACTCTGCTCATGTCCTGTTGCTGTAGAAACCACCATCCAGTATGAACAGGAATCTCTAGAACAAATCGTGGCCAATTTGTAGACCTGTACTTGGGAATAGTTTTATAGAATATAAAAATCCTACTGTTGTAACGTGGTTCTCTGCTTTTCAATAATAGGAAGAAGTTAAAGTAGCAATAATTTACAAGACTGCACAAAAGTAAGATTCTGGAATCTAAAACTGAAAACTAGTTTTAGATTCCAGTATCAAAACCAGGGCCCATTCCTTTACTTTGCAGCTATTTCGGGTTCTGCATTTACAACATGAGCAATAATCTATAATTGTTGTGAAACACAAATATTCTGAATTCTATGGACCACACTCTCAGAAAAAGATAGAATAGAAACCACAAACATTTCTGCACATTTAAACTGTTGGGAGCAGCTCCTAATGAGCCCCACAAAAGGGGCTCTCACAATCTAGTCTTAACAGTGCAGTGCTTGAGGTGTGCTGCTGGAGGTCCTGTCCTTTGAACAAGTCATTATACTGAGATTCCTGCCATTTCAAGTGCACATTAATGATCCCATGGCACGATTCTAGAAGAAAAGGGAGCTTGTCCCCGCTGTCCTTGTCAACAATCTCCTAGATTTATGGAATATTGCTATGAAATAGTCATAATACTTTAATAAAAAAATAAATTGGTCACTCAATCCACGCCTGTTGGTGGGACGCTGCTGTACGCAATTGGCTGTTGCGTTTCTCCCACAAAATATTCAGTCCGCTTTAAAGTATATTCTATGAAGCACTTTGGCGACGTCTCAAAGACGTGATAAGGCGCTATATCAAATGCAAGGATTATTATTTACAGTATATCCAGTGAAGCACTTTGAGATGAAAGGCCTATAAACAAATGTAAGAACTGTTTCAAGACCTTCCTCTTTGATCGTGTCTTTGGTCATCCTCCCACCCATCTTGCCCGCCACCCCTTGATTTCATCCCACCCAGCTCAGCTTCAAACCCTTGAATGTCCAGTGCCTTGGGATGTCCTCCCAATGTGAAAGGTGCTATATAAATGCAATTTCTTGTTGTTATTAAGCATATTTAAGGAGCAGAGAGCCCAGCAGCGTGAGGAAAGAACTGAGTGAGGTGGAACAGAGTGAGAATTCTGTTAAGAAATTTGGTGAGAGTGAGAATTCGGTGCAGAGGGGGAAAGAGGTGCATAATTGTAATATATATATTTATATTAAAATAATATAAAACATGCCTGGGAATATGGGAGGACAGCTGAGACTTTGCATACATAATGTGTGCCATGTGGGAGCTCCAGGATGCTTTGTGTGTCCTGAACAAACAAGGGTTTCTGAGCTCGAAGAGAGGCTGGTGTCACTACATAGCATACGGGAGGCTGAAGAGTTCATGGATCGAACGTTTCAGGAGGAGGTCACCCCACAGCCAGAGAGGGTTCAGAAAAGGATTGAGTGGGTGACCACCCGGCACGGTAAGAAGGGGGGACGGGAGTGCATCTGCGTAAATGCACGGAGTGTGGCAAATAAGATTGGTGAGCTGCAGACTCAAGTGGTCACACGGGGCATGATGTAGTGGCAATAATGGAGACTTGGCTCAAACAAGGGCAGGAATGGGAGCTGAATATTCCTGGCTACAATGTATTCAGGAGGGATAGGAAAGGAAAAAAAGGAGGGGGGCTTGGCAATATTGATTAAAGACACGGTTACGGCCCTGGAAAAGGACGAAAAGGGTCCAAAAACAGAATCTATTTGGTTAGAGTTAAGGAGCAGAAAAGGAGCTGTTACTCTGTTAGGTGTATACTATGGACCACCAAATAGTGGGAAGGAGATAGACGAGCAAATCTGCAAACAGATTTTAGAAAGATGTAAAACCAATATAGTAACAATGCGGGACTTCGATTATCCTAACAAAGACTGGCAAAATAATAGTGTAAAGGGCAAGGAGGGGGAAGGATTCCTGAAATGTGTGCAGAATAACTTTCTGGATCAGTATGTTTCCAGCCCAATGCCTGGGAGTCAGAAAGCAGAGTGGTAGTGAACGGTTGTTTTTCTGACTGGAGGGAAGTGTGCAGTGGTGTCCCCCAGGGTCAGTATTGGGACCACTGCTGTTTGTGATCAATATAAATGACCTGGACTTGGGTATAGGGAGTAGAATTTCTAAGTTGTAGATGATACTAAGCTAGAAAATGTAGTGAACAGTAAGGGGAATAGTAACAGACTGCAAGGGGACAGACTGGTATAATGGGCAGACACGCGGCAGATGAAGTTTAACGTGGATAAATGCGAAGTGATACATTTTGGGAGGAAGAATGAGGAGAGACAGTATAAGCTGATGGTACGATCTTAAAGGGGTGAAGGGACAGAGAGACCTGGGGGTCATATAAGGAAATCTTTGAAGGGGGCAGGACTGGTAGATAAAGCTGTTAAAAAAGCATATGGGATACTATGCTTTATAAACAAGGGCATAGAATACAAAAGTCAGGAATTTATGATGAACTTTATAAAACACCGGTTAGGCCTCAACTAGAGACCGTGTTCAGTTCTGGGCATCACACTTTAGGATAGAAGGATGTCAAGGCATTGGAGACAGTGCAAAGGAGATTTACCAGTATGGTACCAGGAATGAGGGGCTTCAGTTATCAGGAGAGGCTGGAGAAGCTGGGATTATTCTCCTTGGAGCAGAGAAGGTTACGAGGAGACTTAATTAAAGTTTACAAAATTATGAGAGGATTCAACAGGGTGAACAAGGAGAAACTATTTCCACTGGCAGGTGGATCAGTAACCGAGAACACCGATTTAAAATAATTGTTAAAAGCAAGTGGGGAGGTGAGGAGAAATGTTTTTACACAGTGAGTTGTTCGGATCTGGAATGCATTGCCTGAAAGGATGGTGCTGAAGGGTGGAAGCGATTCGATAACAATTTTTAAGAGAGAAGTAGATAATTATTTGGGAGGACAAGTTTGTCAGGGTTATGAGAAGAAAGCGGGGGAGTGGGATCGAGTTGGATAGCTCTTTTCAGAGAACCGGCACAGACATAATGGGCCGAATGGCCTCCTTCTGCACTGTATAATTCTGTGATTTCAACAACAACAACAAGATTCTATTTATTGAGCGCCTTTCACGTCGGGAGGACGTCCCAAGGCGCTGTACAGTTGGGTCAGGACCCGAGCAAGGGGGAAATGGTCAGTGTGAGGGGAGGGAAGGGAGGGAGCGAGGAGGGGGTAGAGAGTCGAGAGGGGAGCTGAAGGCTCGGTCAAAGAGAAAGATCTTGAGACCGGCCTTGAAGGAGGAAAGGGAGGAGGCCGCGAAGGCACTGGGGGATAGAGTTCCAGAGCCTCGGGGCTGAAAGCCCGGCCACTGATGGTAGGGCGGTTGGGGCGGGGGATGTGGAGCAGACCGGAGCCAGAGGAACGAACGGAGGGTACGGGCGGGTAGGTAGGGGGATAGTAGGTCGGAGAGGCAGGAGGGAGCAAGGCTGTGAATGGCCTTGTAGGTGAGGGTGAGGATCTTGAATTCGATCCTCTGGGGGATGGGGAGCCAGTGGAGGCGAGCGAGGGTGGGAGTGATGTGGTCCCGAAGCCTGGTGCGGGACAGTACACGAGCTGCAGAGTTCTGAATGACCTGCAGCTTGTGGAGGGAGGTGGCGGGAAGGCCGGCGAGGAGAGAGTTCCCATAGTCCAGCTTTGAGGTGACAAAGGCGTGGAC